ATATATATATGTTATATATATATACATGCATATATATATATATATATGTATATAATATATATATATATATATCTGTATATATATATATATAGTGATACCCATGATGTTTTTACTAGCATGTCGCTGTTCTTTCAAAATGTGGTTCTTTTTATATTTGATTGTCCGCATTCGTGTTCAGGATATTCTGAAAAGATTCCAGTATTCATTTTTGACATAAAATCTCGTTTATTATCTTCCAGATTTGTTACACCACTGGCCGCAAATGGACCTGTAGATCCCCAAGCAATCATCAATCCTCTGGATAAGAAAAAGGTTATCGATATGTCAAAACGATTACTGAGGTATGATATCAGCGTTCAATGGCGTATAGTAGCTATCGTTCTAGTAGTGCAGCATTGTAGTCATCATGCGCTAGTTGTAGGGGTTTGCCGTGACAATCATACAAAGGCACAAACAACGCTTCATTTTAATTTATGAATATTGGTGAGGAGTTGTATTTTTTGGGACGATTGTAAGGAATACTTTGATGCCTCTGTGTGCACATCACGTGAATGGATTTTTGTCTAGCTGTGAGTGTTTCAGTGTTGCCGGATCACAGGTGGACTTAGTTTTAGGCTTGTAGTAGGTTATTAACGACGATGTTGGCTATATCCATATCTTGTTTGTTTCTGTTTATATTGGGTTATGTCCAGGTTAGAGTATTTATAAGCATGCCTGCTTGTTCACGCCCAGTTTTGTCTGTAATGACACTTTCACCATCAAGGTAATTATCAATACCGCGTCGATGGATTTAAAACTAAAAGCTCAATTTGGGTTGCTGTATGTTAGTATGTACCCATACAGCAATGTCGAGCGTAAACGTAAAACTGATTGAATTTGACGCAATTGTTCGAACTTTCGCATCGAGGCATCTGCATGGCATGGGAAAGACACCCAACTACTGCGTGTTTTTGAATTCAGGTCCCGTCTGAGTACATAGCCCTATCTTTTTAAGCTGCTCAACACCTGATACTCGCATCGGGGGTTCATGTAACAATTGTAAGTCTGCGAGATACGTTCCGTCCTCTGTGTTGTGCGCTACTGACCAACTCAACGTACTCCTTATCTTCCCTTGCAGATGGCTGGACAATCCCAATGAATTAGAGGCCGCCCGTGCGAAGCTCCAGAACAACAAAAGTGGACACGGTAGCAGAGGCTCGAACCTTGGAGATGACGCGTACGACAGGGAACTTCAGGAGGCCTTGGCGCTCAGCAAGCAAGTATGCAGTTTTTATCTGAAATATAACACCTTTGTGCGACGTTCAGCAGACATATACGTACATCTTACCTGAAATTTTACTATATATGTTGCTTTATTTTTCTCGATTGCTTGGGTTGTTCGTTGTCGTGGAGGGCGTTACTGCCCGCTCATCCCAACGACCGTACATCATTATTAAGCCCAGGCATAGCAAGGCATTGCAATTGCCATGATGCTTGACATCGGTCTATCTGTAGACCGTTGAAGCCTTCTCATACTTGTTCTGCGGTGAATAGGTGCACAGACCTGTGTTACGCGAGTAGCAAAATCGTGCCCATTATATACTCTAGACGTCAAGTATCGCATTTCTGCACTTTTCGCCGGCACAATGTTAGGAAATAGGATCCTCCAGAATATGTTCCTCGATCTCATAGTCCTCATGATACACTTGTGCTTTTGGTGATCCTCAGGAATTCGAGCATTCACAGGTCAAGAAGGCTTCGAAACAAGCCGCACCTACGGGCGACGGCGACGCAGAAATGCAAGCCGCTCTCGCACTCAGCAAGGTAAATAAGTGTTCAATTAGTTTTAATTTAGTGTTGCCTATTTACGTTTCCGTGCGTAAGATGTCAAGCGTTTGTTTCGGTAACGAGTGGAGCCACTGTTATGAGATGAGTGCTACAAAGTCAAAGTGTTGTGAGGCGAGTTTGCACTGCTGCGTTGGCTGCTACGTGGGATTGTGGAATGTACATCAGAGCTTCGCATATTGCAGCGTACTGGTGTGTTCGGTTTTCCGATGCCGCGCGCACGTGTAGTTATATTGTGACGGGCACACTTTTCTATTACGTGAGTGGCTTATATTGGAGCTTCAAACTATTGTGTTGATAGTATACTGTTGTGCAGATTGTCTGGAGAGTGTATTTAATTTTATGGACATATACGTAACAACGGGAAGATAAAATAAGGCTAGTTAAAAAGCTGAGAGAATGGAGGTCCGAACGCTTCCGCACGGCACGCTTGTTTAGTATCATAGCATGAATAATCTCATTGTCGATCATCTCACCATGCCTGCAATCATTTCACTCATCGCATTCTTCCCCACACTCGCTACCCAGGCCTCGTATTTGCAAAACCAGACGCTGATTGACTTTGGGGATCCCGCCGGCAACACACAGCAGCCAGCAGCTTTTGATCCAATCATGACCGAAAGCAAAAACATGTTGGGACAATTGAAAACCCAACATAGTTCTTCAGGTGCACATCAAAATGTAAACAATCTCGACATCTTCAACCTGGGATTTAACAGCCAACCCATACAAAACCAACAACCGCAACAGCAGCAACAATCAAACGATCCCTACGCTATCTTCAACAACGTGTCTACCGCTCAGACCACCTCTGTGTTTGGAGGATCCGACCCGTTCGCCTCGAACAGGTGACCGAGATGTATTTATAGTTGAAAATTTAATTATGCACACACGTATATATATATATATGGATACACACACACACATACATACATATATATATATATGTGTGTGTGTGTGTATGTATGTATATATATATA